AAAATGAGACTCTCTCCATTTAAACATGTGTCTTAAAATGCACCCCTTCGAGCTACAACCTCTGGAAGTTAGGTTAACAAAAATATCATCTGAAATTGTGGTCATAATAACGGATCAAGTGCAAGTATTCCAGTACTACACGCCTCTGAAATAGCAATCACTTTTGTTTATACGTCCATGGTTTCGACATACGCGATCATCTACGTATGCAAGCGTTTCACCCTGAACACAAGCTACTCTTGAAATTTATATTTCTCAGTGATAGAGGTCCTTCAATTGGTGAGAAGATTATTTTTGGAAACTATAAAAAAATAGTACGATAAACAATACTGTATATACTGGACCAAAATGAATTAGCACGGATGCGAAAACTTCAAAACAGAGCCATGCGCATTATTTTGAATTGTGGAAGACTAACACCTATAAGTGGTATGTTTAAGCAACTGGAATGGCTGCCAATAAAATATTTTCTTCTTCACCAAACCATGATTCTTATCTTCAAAATAAGACATAAAATTGCGCCAACCTATTTACAAGACAAAATCAAATATAATGAGCAAATCCACGGATACGCACTAAACAAACCAGTACCGACAAGCCAAGCAAAGATAGTTACTCGTAGCAACAAGAAGAATGTAGCATAGGATCAGGCCTCACGAACGCATACGCCCTTCGTCATTATGCATCATAATGTTCAGTCTCTAAGAAACAAAATTGATGAAATTAACATCGCTCTTGATGACTATAAAAAGGAAAACCCTATCCATGTGATATGTTTTTCAGAACATTGGATGCATAAGAACGAAGAAAGGCATTATATTCTAAATGATTTTAATTTAATTAATAGCTTCTGTAGGGAACAATATTTACATGGCGGAGTAGCAATCTTTGCGGATAAAAATATAGATCTTCAGCCAGTCAGTAACATTGAAACAACACCTCTAGAGAAATCCATCGAATTTTGTTTAGCAACTTGTAAAAAGGAGAAATTGATAATTGTATGTGTATATAGGAGTCCACTAGGCGATTTTAATCTATTCAATGATATATTCTTTCAACTGTTCACCGAAATTTTTGCAAAATACAACAATTACAATTACATAGTGTGTGGAGATTTCAACCTGGACTTTAGTTCTGATAATAAAAAATTAACAAGTTTCAAGAATACATTGGAAACATTTGACTTGAAAATAACAATAAACGATTTCACAAGGGTTTCACCGACTTCAGCTACCACTATCGACAACATTCTTGTTAACACAAAAAATGATTACTCCACCTTCACATTGGATATGTGTGTTTCAGATCATAATGTGCAGTTTTTTACTCTATATCTCAATAAATTATCTGTAGGTAATAGTCAACAACAGCTGTCTAGGTCCTATTCCGAAAATAACCAAAAAAAATTCGAACAATATTTGAGAAATATGGATTGGTCACAGTTATACGAAAGCGAAACTACGAATGATGCATATCATAATTTCGAGGGCTTGTTGAACTTTTACTTCGAGAAGTCATTCCCTTTGAAGAAAAAAATTATAAACAGCAAAACATATATGAAAGAATGGATAACGAAAGGCATCCGACAATCTTGCAAAAACAAAAGATTTCTGTTATATTTGAAACGATACACAACAAATCCGAGTATTCTCGAATATATCCAGAAATACTGTCAAATTCTCAATAGCCTCATTAAGACATCGAAAAATTTTAATTATGAGAAACAGTTGGCAAATTCTCCAAATAAAATCAAAGCGACATGGAACATGGTATCACATTTCACCGGCAAGCAGAAAAAAATTGAGGATATTGAACTGAAAAACGACAATGGCAATTTGATACTTGAACCTAGAGAAATCGCAGAAAAATTCAAAAAGCATTTTGAACAGATAAGCTTAGAAGCCACTCCTAATGCAAATAGCAATATATCTAGTACAGAATACATACACAATTTCAAATTCAACAACAAAAATTCATTTTTCTTCTCTCCGCTAATTGAAAGTGACATCTTGGAAAGTATAGCTGCCCAAAAACCTAAGTTCTCTACTGGAATGGATAACATACCAATGACTTTGATAAAAAGACACAGTAATGCGCTGAAAAAGCCACTTGTTTTTCTATTCAATCTATCACTCTCTTCCGGCATATTTCCCGATTCATATAAAAAGTGTATCATCATACCACTCTATAAAAAAGGCGATAGGACCGATCCCAATAATTATCGTGGCATTTCATTACTCTCAAGCTTCTCAAAATTATTGGAGTGGAATGTTAACAAACAAATAGTGTCATATCTGAATACTCAGCAAATCCTTACAGAATCGCAATTCGGTTTCAGAAAAAACTTGAACACTACGGATGCCGCATTTAAATTGATAGAACAAATACATGAGTCTCTAGAAGCAAATCGATATCCACTCGGAATATTCTGCGATCTCTCTAAGGCATTCGACTGTGTAAGTCACAATATACTCCTGGAGAAATTAGAGTACTACGGAATCAGAGGTTTGTCTTACGACTGGTTTAAATCATATCTCTCACAACGAACAATGTGTGTCAGAGTAAAACACGAAATGTTAGGTGATGTGCTATACCAAGATTCAGAACATACTCAATTACAGGCAGGCGTACCACAGGGATCAGTGCTGGGCCCTACATTATTTCTCATTTATTTAAATGATATCGTTTGTAATTTTCCGGCAGCAGCATTCACACTTTTTGCGGACGACACGAGTATACTGGTTGAAGAGGCAAATAGTGACCTACTCACTACATCATCAGAAGATATAATGAAGGGAGTGTCGGACTGGTTTCTGGCTAATAAAATGGCTCTCAACTACTCTAAATCGTTCAACATTCTATTTAAATTATATAAAGATGTTGACGATGTGACCATACTACTTAATGAAAATTCTATTGATAGTGTACTCTCAACAAAATTTCTGGGAATAACTATTGACAGCAAACTAAACTGGCTAGACCACATCACTACACTTCAAACTAAATTGAGTAGGTCAATCTTTGCCCTACGCACAGTTAAACGGAATACAAACCTTGCAACAACAAAACTGGTCTACTTTGCATACTTTCATAGTGTTTTACAATATGGCATTGAATTTTGGGGCACATGCACATATGCGGCAGACGTATTCGGAACCCAGAAGAGAGCTATTCGGGTATTATTTGGTTTGAATCCTAGAGACTCTTGCAGAACACCTTTCAAAGACCATAAAATATTCACTTTAACAAATACCTACATATTCAAAATAAGTATGCTGATTCACAAAAAGCGTTCAATAATGACATTACCATCAGACAAGCACACATATCCAATAAGAAAGCAAGAGTATATTTTGCCAAACTATAGATACAACAGAACTAGAAATGGGCCATTGTATTCTGGAATAAAAGTATACAACCACCTACCTTCCAATATGAAATCTTTAGGTAATTTGCGTTTCAAAAACCACCTGAAAAAATTATTGCATCAACATGTTTTTTACAATCTAGAGGAATTTTTTTCTCAACATTTAGAATGAAGTCACATTATTGTTATTAGTTTACACCGCACCTTTCACTTTCTCAATGCTGTATAAGCTGTACAGAATGTAAATACTATATGCTATTATTATTATTATGTATCAATGTAATTGCGATTCTGTGAGAAATAAATCTAATCTAATCTAATCTAATCTAATCAACACTAGAAATAGAACTGATTTCCACATTCAACAAGTTGGATTAACGCAAACACAAAATTCAATTTTTTTAAAAGGCTTGACAGTTTCAACAATCTCCCACAAGACATTAAAAGCATAGCATCTCTCTGACCATTGTTTTATATAATTTTAATTTCAATATGTATATATGTGACAAGTATGTTTATGTGTGACAATTAATGTACCTATTCAATATTCATTATAGACATTATACAATAAATGTGGTAACCGAGGTGGTAACCTCAAAACGAGCCTCAAAATGTGAAATGTAAATTAGTCTATGACTCGAAACGAAACGGCTCGACCGATTCGTATGAAATTTTTTGTGCCTGTTCGGTAGGTATGAGAATCGGTCGTAATCTATTTTTTAACTCGAAAATTCAAGATGGCGGACGAGTATTGTTATCCGATATCATTCAACACTGGAATTTGGGGATTTTCGGGGTCGGATATTATGATTCTTTCGTAAAATTTTGGAAATTCAAGATAACGGATCCAATATGACTGACGGGTTTTGTAATTATGGTCAGAATCCATTCAAAATCTGTTATATCAATTCAAAAATATACCTTGACAATTATCTTCAAAAACCATTTGATTATTCTTCCAAAATCTTCTTTGAGCATTATAATATCCTTTCTGTTGATCAATTGTTTTATAAAACATCAACAATATATATAAGGAAACATTTACAAAACTATAATCATGTAAAACATAAATATGACACCAAAAATAAAATTGATGGTTGGATATCGACTGAGAAATTCTCTTCAACTTTAATGCAACAACATGCCATTCATATAGTTGAAAAAAAATTACAATAAATTGCCTCCTTCTTTGAAAAAAATCAGTTTTTTCTTATTCAAGGAAAAAATTATATCCTGGTTGATTGAGAATTCAGAAATTTTGGAAATTTGATTATATGATAAAATACTTAGGCAACATTTCATGTTTTCTATAGTTATATTTAGATTACATGAACATGTATTTGATATATGTTAATTTTACTCAATGAGAAAATGAATTTCAGTTAGTGGAAGGAAAAAAAATATTACATGATCATGGACAAGTTTCCAACTTTTTTGATCTTGTTTATATTATAAAAAAAATGTATATTATTATTAATATGGTATGCTAATATGTATGTTATTTCTAAAATGAATGGAAGTCTTGAAATGATCAAAATAAAATCAACAGGTAGTTAGGTTATTTCATATTAGGTATCAGCTGTGGCTCAAGCTGTGTTATTAGATACATGTTAAAACTTTCTGTAAAGCTCACCTCACACACAAAAGGTTTGATTCCTTGATGAATATACTGAACATGTCTCTTCAAGGAACTATTTTGCCTGAATAATTTATCACATTGGTCACAACTGACGTAACCCCCATCACCTGTGTGAATAGATATGTGTTTCTTGAGGCTTTTAGTCCATAAGTATCCATTCCCACAAACTGAGCATTCACATTCAAGATGCTTTATTTGCAAATGTTTATGAAAGTTTTTTTGCATAGTCTTTTTACAAATAAAACAATAATTATGGTTCTGATGGAGCATTAGGTGAATTTTCAATGACATTTCATTCCTGTATTTTTCAGGACATTTTGTGCAATTGAACTCTTGAAAAGTTTGATCAAGACTATCATCAAAAAGTTCAGTCTTCACATTGATGATATCAGGAGAGTCTTCTTCCTCTGATTCTTCTTTAATATTCATTCCAATGGTATCAGGAGAGTCTACTTCCTCTGATTCTTTTTCAATATCCATTTCAGGCATATTTCAGAATGTAGGTATATGATGTTGGCCGTCTACCTCACAGAACTCAAAGACCTCTAGCTAACGCACCGGCAAACCTGGTTGAATTGAGATTGAAGATTCGAAAAAAATTCAACTTAGGTTTTTTCTGGATCTGGAAAGGTGGAAGAAAAAGAAATATCGGCTCCATAATCCATAGCAGGCAAAAAAGATGATAAACAAACAAAACCACCTGATACACACGTTACATATGTTAAGATCGGGACACAATGTCAGAGACTGTGGTCAGAGATAATCACTAATCAGATAAACAGATAATGTAGAGGAAAATAAGGATTAAAAAATGAGAGATGCAGGTCTGCTAATGGTCAATGGTCAATGCTAACTTTGAACGCGTTTTAAGTAGACCAATCATATTCCTTATTCCTATTTCTTATTCTTTTGCATTGTGTTTGGGCCTTAAGATTGATATGACATGACTTGACTTTGACATTTAGAATTGACATGTTAGAAATTACGAGTGCATGCAAACAGCTCCAACACACTACATTCAATATTCTGGCTTCCATCATATTGTGATACATACAAGGAAGCTAACTATCCTTCCTGCATGAAAAAAGGGACTACGATTTCTGAACTGGAACCTTCTGCCTGAAGAATGTATTTTGTTAAAAATTAGTTGGGAGAACGAAATATACTATTTGCGCGTTCGTTCTTCTAACGCGAGTTGCATACCTGTGTTCGTGAACTTTAGTGTTGCCTACTCGGTTGCTAAGTCAGCACGTACGTAGCCCATATACGTATTAATAAACAATACGGAATACGGATCATAACGGGTGCCAGGATGAAGCCAAAAATATGAAACAAATGAATATCCATAAGGATTTGGTGGCATGATACGCATGCGCCATGCGCTATTATAGTAAGCCTTTCAATCAAAGTAGTATGTGTCTGATCGTTTCAAAACTTTTACTGATGGATAGTCATTTGTCTTCAAAAATCGGCTTCATGTTCCGCTATGGAAACAGATAGAGATTATCCGTATTGATTATTAATACGTATATGGTGCAAAGCCGTGCGTTGAAAGCCAGAATATTGGATGTAACGTGCTGAAACTGTCTGCAGCCACTTGTTCTTTATCTTCTCGAACATTTAGTTTACTTGATTGTATTCATCATTGTCTGCTAAGTATGGAGAAAAAATCTAGTGAGCTGGAACTCCAGCTACAATGGTTTTCATAATGTTTGCCCCTCTTTCTCGATATACGATATACAGGACAATTCAATCATATATGATTCAGGAACTGTTCAAAGACCTGATTCAAATTCGAACTTGCTGCTATTTCACACTACTGCACTGCCTTGACAGTCTTCACAGATTGACACTTGACGTTGTTGTTTAGACTTTGACAACTGGCAGTTGAGGTTAGAAGTTAGATGAAAAGAAATTAAAATTTTCCATTTCTTCTTTTCGTGTTTTGAATCAGAACACTTCTCACGTAGGTTAATTTATATTTTTTCAAGTAATCTTTCACTCTTTTCTGTTTACGAAAATAATTATCGGTTTCAGTAATCATGATCTCAAAATTAGTGAATATATTTTCAATTTTTCCCAGCCAGTAATTGTTTTTATTTGATTTCAGAACAACCATGGCCATCAGACCTGTTTACAGGCCTGATATCATAAAAAAGAGGACTAAAAAGTTCATCAGACATCAGTCTGATAGGTATGGTAAACTAAAGGTAACGAATAAAACTGGTTCAAATTCATATTGTGCTACTATCAAATCATCAGTGATTTTTCTAGTTTCTATAACGCTTCCTATTTACATTTTCAGCGTAACTGGCGTAAACCAAAAGGTATTGACAACAGAGTGAGGAGGCGCTTCAAGGGTCAGTTTTTGATGCCAAATATTGGTTATGGATCAAATGCAAAAACTCGTCATATGTTACCTACCGGATTCCGTAAAGTTTTAGTACACAATGTTAGGGTGAGTTCAAAATGAATTGAAGTGGACTATATACAATAATTACTTGATAAAATATAGAATTCTGTCCTGGATAGCTTTGGGGTTCCTCTGATCACTAAAACAAAGTAGGAGTGTCCTCTGCAATAATTTAAAGAGAATCCCATATTCATGATAGTCCTTTGTGTATGGTAGTTTTATGATTATTGTTATTCATATATTATACAAACTCAGATTGAATGATTTTTTTTTGTAAAATTTGCAGTAGTGATAGTATATCAGCATTGATGGGTGCATATTTACTGAAGAGTATTAATCTTTAGATATTTTTAATTATACAGAAAATCTAGTTCATAATTATCTAAATTGTATTCAAGTAAGTTAATGTGTTCCCCAAGGCATATAACCTCCAGGATATCCCTTTTTGTGGGAACCAGAACATAAAAAACCCAAAGAAACTACTTTTACTCATTGAACATGGTAATAATTAATATCCATATATAGGGTGACTCCAGAAATGTAACATTTTTTGTTAAAACTGCTTTTATCATGTTATGGTTTTTTTTTTGAAATTTTTGTTGGTACTTAAGTTTTTGTTTGAAAAACAGGAATTTGATAATGAAAATGTGGACAAACCATCATTTATTCAGATATATGACTATAAAGTTACAAATTTCACCTTCTTTTCCACCTGCCTTCTGGATGGCATTTAGAACAATTTGCCCTTCTTTTTTCATCATCATATCATAATGTATGACACATTTTGTTTTTCTATTGAATGAGAACTAGAAATATGATTCTTGAGATTTATCCATATTCAGTGGAAAGAAGAATATCATTTAAAGCAATCTATTGACATTTGACATCTTGTATCTGGATTGACTATTGATTAAATGGCCGTCATCTGGTATGCTTGTTCACTAAATATTGAAAACTTGCCATAAAAATCATATTTCCTGTTGAATTTTCTATATAGAAATGTGTCATTGAAGTACATCATGAGACCTTGCATCATGAGTATATAAAGTGTCCAATGTCAAAATAAGAAGAGCAAGTTGCTGTAAATGCATCTAACACAAGGGGAGATAGAAGGTGAAATTTTGAACTTTTTCTTGAAATATCTCTAAATTGGGGCTTTGTTCATATTTTATTATCAAATTCCTGTTTTTCAGACAAAAATACATAAGTACCAAAAAAAACCATCACATGATAAATGCAGTTTTACCCATTTTTAAAAAAGGACACTAATATCTCAGAATAATATTTTTGACATGAACATGAAAGCTTCAAGATTCAGGAATTTCAAAATTTACATACGTTACATCAATACACAATTATTTTCTTCAAGGATTTTTGTTGTATATCAGTTGTTTGAAGTGATTAGCCAAGGTGGTAATTTTGTCCAGCCTCTTAAGAAAACAGAAGAAATGGACACACTTGATTGAATAAAGTGGGCAAAATGAACAAAACTAATTGAAAGAGTTGGGTAAAATGTGATTCTTTGTTTATGATGAAGAATAATCTCTGTTTCCAGGAAATTGAAAATATTGTCCATATTTTTTCAATATTGTTTAATAAAAATTTTATGATAGCTGTCATGTGGCAGAAAATTTTCACTAATTAATTTTACCGAAAATTTTCACTCACTAATTTTACGTCTACATGCTCATGTTGATGAAGAATTTACAACAAAATTGCATCTCATTGGTTGAAAATGACTGGTATAATGCATTAGAAGTAAATAGAATACCTTGGAAATTCCTTGGAAACCAGAGATTAAAGCAAACAGATGACTTTCTGAAATGTCAAAAAAATGTTTGTGTTTTCACAGCATTTTTTTTTGTTTCCACTCCAAACAAAATTTTTACGTCTAGTATTAATCCATGGCGAGAACTTATTAAAATTGTCTTTGTTACTAAACACATACCATAGAGAAACGAATAAAAAGAGAGTTGTCAAACCTGCAGTAAAAGTTGGCACCACGTTTAGAGCGACACACTTGGCAACTGGGTGGAACTAGTTACTATGATCGATAAAACAGATTCTCTAGTTACCGATTGAGATAAGGCGGTTTATTTAAAACCTTTACTTTCAAAATTTGTATTAATCGAGAAAATTACAAAAAAAAAATAAAAAACTTAAAAAAATATATTTTATTCCATCCAAGACTAGAGAACTACATATCATGAAACAATAATAAGTAGATAAAACTCTGAAAAAAAAAAACAAAATAAGATATAAACTCTTCAGCCTAATAATGACTAGACATCATACAAAAAGGAAACAAACAAAAATGATGAAAATTATGAATAAATGAATAACTAACTCTGAAAAAAAAAATGTCCTGCTACATATGTTGCCTGGGTGTCAAATTCTGAGTTAGAAAACACAATATCGAAATTTGGAATAACCAATTCATTCAACTCATTGACAAGAACTGATGATGGCTCTGGCTCCACTGGGCAAGCAAAAAATGAGTTGAGATTATCCAATTTGGTAGTCACATCTTCTTCACAATTTTTGTTGGCATTTTTAGGTATCAACTTATTCAACACTTGCTTGCACACTTGAATTCATATGCACGGGGTCTTGACATCTCACCACACTTTTACATCTGTGATATTCTTTTAATCTGAAATACTGAAATATTACATAAAACAAACATAAAACTGAAATCAGTTAACATGCGTTCTTCAAGAATGCCTACTTCAATTCGATAAAATGTATGTTTAATTCAGTTCCGTTCATATTTCGGTTAGTTCAGAATGAAAGAATATCACTTATGTTTCTATAAAAATGTACCTACGTGCAACCTACATGAATATTATCAATTTCACCTTGTCAATAATAGAAATAAACTCGGAAATAAAGTAAAATAAATGTGAAAGAGAAACTCGAATTTCAGTATCAACATCAACTCGGAAAATAAACAATATCTGTTGTATTCCATTGGTCTGTTCCTTCGTTCTAAAATGGAACTTGCTAAAGTTGATGTTTTTCCATAGTTGTCTCTGTTCATAGCATGATATAAACAGAGAAAGTCATAGAAAAAAAA